TCAATGAAATTAATAGGCAGCAGGTTTAAAATAAACATAAGGAAATACTTCTTCACACAATGCACAGTCAATCTGTGGAACTCGTTGCCAGGGGATGTTGTGAAGGCCAAAAAAGGCTGGATTCAAAAAAGAACTAGATAAGTTCCTGGAGGATAGGTCCATCAATGGCTATTAGCCAAGATGGTCAGGGATACATGCTCTTGGTGTCCCTAAATCTCCAACTGCCAGTACCTGGGACTGGATGAAAGGGGATGGATCACTCAATAATTGCCCTGTTCTGTTCATTCCCTCTGAAGCATCTGGCACTAGCCACTTGCAGAACACAGGGCACTGGGCTAGGTGGAACACTGGTTTGACCCAGTATGCCCATTATTATGTTCTTATGAAGCCAATCAAAATCAAATCACTTCAGGTGTCGGCTTTATCTGTTTTAAAGCTCTGGACTATTTTTAACTGTATTTAAAAGACTAAAACATGTAATCATTCAAATTAGAATTGCACAATCTTAGACTAGTAGTGTTTTGAAAATCAGACACCATACTGACTCTTGTAAACATTTCTGTAATTGGACTGTGACCAGGTAAATCAGTATGATTATCACAGCTCTCAGCTGACATTCCAAAATCTCCGAATCCAAGCAGGGGGCAAACGCTTCATTTAGGTGCACACACATTTCATGGCTTCTAAACATGTAAGAATAGAATGTTCTTCCTTAGCTAATTACAGTGATTTAGACAATCAAGGAGGTGGGGGTGTTGAGGAGATGGGGTGATTTTCTTGTCTGTGGTCATGTTGTTCTTCTGATGCCGGGAACAAATATTTTAATCTCTTCAGTGGTATGAAGAGTTAGCAGGTGTGTGTATTTCAACGTCTGCTCAGTTTATTATTTATTTACTAATATTGGTCTATGAACATTTGGGGCCAGATCTTCAACAGGTGTAAATCAGCATGTATTCATGGAAGTCATTGGAGCTGATTATAACAGTTGAGGAGCTGGCTCTTGTTTTTTGGAGCACCCAATCTGCAAGCTGTTTTAGCTTCCAGAATTTCAAATCCCATATATGTGACCCATTTTTGTCACATTCACGTGGCATAATCTTTTCCCTCCCAAAATAAAACAAATAAAAACTAAAAAAGAGAGCAAAATTACATAATACAACAGTTAAAGTCCCAAGGAGAACACATCCTTACAAAGAAAGGTACACTTCACAGGGGCTTACCTAAATTAGTTGTGGCAGCTAATAATAATACTATGTCAACAATTACAGAAGGCTGAAAGGGTGCTGAGAATTGAAACTGACAGTGTTCCTAAATATGCACACATTTCATCATTTTCCAAACCTTACAATATATGACATTGAATCAAGCCTTCTAATCATTATTTCTGATGGTGAAAACAATTTCACTAAGCTTCAAATCTAAAATGTAATTTTAAATGGTGACTATTGGGGTTTAGAATTTTCCACAGACAGCATCTAGAGGAAAGCCAGTGCTTTGAGCACAAGCTATGGGACTGCCGAAGAAAATAGCATACACATCAAATCTCAGCACAATTTTTAAAGTGTAAATCTTTTTAGAACCTTCCCTCAGTCTCCTGCGCAGATATACACAGCTGGGGAGAAAGCGAAAACTCTCTCAGGTACAAAATGGCTAACCTTAGTTTTGAGACCAGCTAAAATATTGGAGGGAAAAAGCAGTTGCCATAGCAGAGAATGATTACAATCCTTAAACCAAATTCTGAAATCCTTGTTCAGTTTTTACTCAGTACTTAGGCCAAATTCCAATTCAAGATTCATGGGAATTTGGCCTGAAGTCTGAGATAAAAATGAATTAGGATTTGAGGATGTGGCAGAGGCCCTAAGGAGTGCTCCATACAGAGAATACTTAGATACCTCTGAAGAGCTATCAAAGCCCCATTGAGGAATTTGTTAATCCATGACACCGGTGGAATATATTAACCCATCATGCTCCCCAAGGACTTCAAGTTGTCTAGAAAAGGCTAAAAAGACCCCAAACACTTGATAAAATAAAAATAAAACAAAGAAAAATATTGTAACACTACCTAAGTGGACTAACGAAAGCTATTCTAAAGAATCTACAATTGCCTCATGAAGCATATCGTACAACTCAAAAAATGATAAATTCCAAAACCAAATCGTTGCCATATAAAGACAGTTGAAAGCTCTCAAAAAAAGTATTTATACAACTAAATAACAACCCTCTCAGAAAAAATCTACCTATCAGCTGTACATTCCATTCCCTAACAAGTTCCTCAAATCCTAAATCCTAAAGGGACAGAAAGGGAACTGGTTCACCCAACTATCTGTGCCCTGGAAAAAAAAACACAAAACCAAATCCACTGCACATACCATTTCCTTCCCTAGGATAATTTATTTTTACATTGTAAAGGCCCCCACAATAAAAGTCCATAACAATCAAACAGTGCACGCAACCATAATCTCCATTTTCACACAACAATCCTATCAGGAAACTCCAGAGAACCTGGATCTCAAGGCCCTCGACAGAAACAAACATACACTCCCCCCGCCAAAATAAAACATCTTCGTAAGGCAGCAAGATTATGTGACTTGCCCAATGTCACGGGGCAGAAAATTATTACTGTTATTATTACTTTTATTTGTATTATGGTAGTGCCTAGAGACTCACCGAGAATGGGGCTCCATTGTGCTAGACATCATACAAATGCTAAACTGTTCTGTTGAATTTACAATCTAAAGAGACAAGACAGACAAGGGGTAGGGGGGAAAGTTTATAACACACAAGCAGAACAATGTGAAGGTGGCAAATGACAGGCTAGTGCTACAATTTTATTTAAAAAAAAACCTTTTTTGGGGAGAAGAGATTAGTTAAACTGAAAGACAAAGAAACGGAGAGGGGATGTTGAAGTGAGGGGATGAAAGATCAGGATAGGGGATTAACAGATTTTAAAGCCATAACACACCATTAGATCATCTAATTTGACCTCCTGTTTATCACAGGGCCATTAAATTTCACCCAGTTACTCCTGTATTGAGCCCAGTAACTTGGGTATCACTGAAACATGTCTTCCACAAAGGCATCCTGTCTTGCGCTGAAGACATCAAGAAATAGAGAATTCACCATTTATCTTGGTAAGAGGAAGGAGACAAGCATAAGCATGGAGGGCAAGTGGAGTGAAACTGAGGTGAAGAGACTGCAAGGAGTTTGGAGCAGGCAGCCAGGGGGAAAGAATGTTGAGTGAAAGCTGTGGAAAGCAGCCTGACACTCACTATCGCCAGTCCCTGCTGCAGCACCTGGTGAGGCTGCTTCTGTTCTTTGGGCTGGCTCCTCCCTGGAATTTTTCTCAGTCAGTATTGCCAACACCAAGTGTTCACAAATCATGGATCAGGCCTCAAAAATCATGAGATTAAAAAATAAATAAAAGCTGGGGCTCATTTTATTTGTCGTTTGGTTTCCAAGCCTTCAGGATGCACGTGGTTCACAATTTGAAGCTATTCGATCATGAGGGCTAAAAACTTTCTTTTTCATTAAAGCGGAGATGCTCGCCTAATCACAAGCATCCAGGAGCTGGGTATTAGAAAAACGTCGAATATGGCAAGACTTGTAATAAAATGGTGAGTTGGGAACACTGCTTTCTTCTCCCAGTCCACAAAGCGCCAGGGAGTACTGCACAGGGCTGCTAGAATTAGGGGTGCTGCGTGGCAGCACCCCCTGGCTTGAAGTAGTTTCCATCATATACAAGGCTTACAGTTTTGTTCAATGGCTATCAGCACCCCCACTATAAAAACTGTTCCACTGCCAGTGGTACTGCATGGATCCTAGTGCTCCCATAGTGAGGGAGGGCATCCCACACAGTTGTAGGTCTGGAGAGAGCTGGAAAACAGTTCACCCTACCTTTCTCCCACCCCCCACAAATGCTACAGTACCACCTGAGCAGTGGTCCCGAAACTTTTCAGGGTCGAACCTCCCCTTACTCCTGTCCGCACCTCCCCTAGGGTTGCCAACTTTCTGATTGCAGAAAACCAAACACCCTTGCTCTGCCCCAAGGCCCCATCTTCACTCACTCCAACCCCCCTCCCTCCGTCGCTCGCTTTCCTCTCCCCTCGCTCATTTTCACCAGGCTGGGGCAGAGGGTTGGGGTGTGGGTGGGACTGAGGGCTCCGTCTGGGGCCAGGGATGAGGGGTTTGGAGTGCGGGAGGGGGCTCAGGGCTGGGGCAGGTGGTTAGGGTGCAGGGGAGTGAGGGCTCTGACTGGGGGTGCAGGCTCTTGATTGTGGCCGGGGATGAAGGGGTTGGGGAGCAGGAGGGGGCTTTGGGCTGGGGCAGAGGGGTTCGGAGTTTGGGATGGGGCTCCAGGCTGGGACAAGGGGTTGGAGTGTGGGGTGTTGGCATGTGGGAGGGGGCTCTGGGCTGGGGCAGGGGGGTGTGGGCTCCGGGATGAGGCCAGAAATGAGGGTTCAGGGTGTGGGAGGGGGCTCCAGGCTGGGTCAGGGGTCAGTTTTTTCTTCATCAGTACAACAGTCCAAATGACAGATCTGAAACAGCTGCATGAACTACTGCAGACCCCAACGCAGCTGGGATGTGTGGACTTAAAAACTACCAACCCATTTTCTTAGAACATTTTACATGTTTAAAAACCAAACCCTCCTCTACTTTTCTGCCAAGACCTGAGCTCGTGATGCTCAGATTTTCCTGCAATAGTTGGGGGCCTGGCAAACATCACTCCAGGAACTAAGCAAGGAGAGACCCACAAACCCAGGTCTTGTCAGGTAGATGAAGGAGGAAGCAATTTTTAAATATAAATATATTTGAGATTTTCAGCGTATGCCTGCTGTGTATGTGCCTTGGCTGGTTTGGAGACCTTACAGTGTTTGCAAAGTATTTACATGACGTGGGGAGTTCCCCTTTAGGTGTGCTGGTGTGGTCAGCACAAATCAGGAATTAAGCATTGCGCCTTTAAGAGGAGCACAGCACATGACGTGTCAGTTTGCCAAGCAGAAGAAAATGTCTCCACGCGGCAGCTGTAGAGCACGGACCGTTTCCCAGGTCTCTCCTCCCCTGTTGTTGGGTAAGCGCTGCTGGTGTAGGTCAGCTCTCTAGATCTGTCGGTGGGAGTTTGCAGGGTCATGGGGAGGGCAAGGAGAGCGATAGGGGACAACGTGCAGAATGCTATGCTGTGCTTGGAGGGAGGTCTGAATTCCGGGTTGAAGCCTGCTCTGAGTTGCTTAGAACTGACTCTGGTGTTAGCTAGGTTTGCACCAACGTGTTAAGTAGTTTGAACAATGTGAAGTGAAATCTGCTGTGCAGAAAGCAAGGGGCTGCAGCTCTGTAATTCTATATACCAATCTGAGAGGGCGTGGAAATGCTTCCTGTAGTTCATTTATTTCAGGATCTTGTGCACTGCCAACAGATGGGACCTGTGACTTGGTGGGATTATGATTTGCAGATTGCAGCTGGATCCTGTTTTATTTGGGAATGGAGCAAATGAAATTTGTATAGGAATGCTGCTATGTTCAAGAAAGCAGCTTTGAATTGACAACTTGTGCCAGTAACCCTAAAAACCCCCTAAGTTTAGATGTTAAAAAAAAAAAAGTCGGATTGTTTACAAGTGTATCTTAATATAGAGAATGGATTTAAGAGCTGAAATTTTCAAAGCCACATAACTCATCAATTTCAAGAGGCGGTTAGGGGATTTTGCTGCACACTTCCCTTTGAAGTTAATGGGAATTGTGAAGCTAAATTCCCTAGTCTGCTTTGAAAACTGCAACCAAGATTTGGGAAAACTGTTGCCACTGAGCAGCATTGCCCACCCCAAGCATTCAGAAGTCATGATTAGCTTAAAATCATGATTTAAAAAAATAAGTTGTGTCTCCCCCCCCCAAATGCCTTTTGGTATGTGACCTCTAGAATTCACATCTTCAAGCTTTTATCCAGCATTGTGAAGGCTAGAAATATATATATTAATGAAAGCTGAGATTCTAATACAGGGGTGGGCAATAATTTTTGCAGGGGGGCTACTCCACGAATGTTGGTAAGTTGTCACGGGCTGCACATTTCTAGTGTATTAATGGAGGGGAAGCGGGTTCTGGGAGGGAGTTTGGGTGCAGGAGGGAGCTCTGAGCTGGCGCAGGAGAGCGTGAGGAGTGTGGGCTCTGGGAGGGAGTTTGGGTGCAGGAGGGGATTCTGACCTGGGGCAGGGGGTTGGGGTACAGGAGGGGATGTGAGGTGCAGGTTCTGGTCAGGAGGTGCTTACTACAGGTGGCTCCCAGCCGGTGGCGCAGCAGGGCTCAGGCAGGCTGCCTGCATGCCGTGGCCCCATGCCACTCCCGGAAGCGGCGGTGGCCGGCTGCTGCTGGCACATCTCCGTGTGCTGCCCATGCCTACAAGCACCATCCCCACAGCTCCCATTGGCCGGTTTCTGGTTTCCGGCCAATGGGACCTGTGAGGGTGGTGCTGGGGGCAGGGGTGGCACGTGGAGCTGCCTCCCCCTACCGGGGTGCGCAGAGATGTGGCAGCAGGAGCTGGCTGCTTCCAGGAGCGGTGTTGGGCCACAGCAAGCAGGCAGCCTGCCTGAGCGCCCCGCTCTGCCACGGGACTTTTAGTGGCTCGGACTCGGAGATCGTGAGGGGGCAGAGGAGGCTGGACAGAAATGTTAGTCATGGCGGGCCGCACAGAAATGTTAGACGGGCCAGACCCGGCCTATGGGCTGTATTTTGCCCACCCCTGTTCTAATGTAATCTTACCTGACCTCAGAAGCTGGAGCTCTAAAAATTCCAAATGTCATGGGACTGATGATAAAATTGTGAGATGTGGCCCATCTGTATAAATGCCCATTGACCACAGCTTTAGCCCTTTGGGCTAATAATTCTTTGCTGGAAATGTACTGGTGTTTCAGTTAGAACTGGTTTGGGTCATGTGATCATCTCAACTGTAGAATGCCAGCACTAATCACAGCTGCCTTGTTGGAATAAATAAATGAAAATTTAGGGTCTGTTTCTGCTCCAGTGAAAATTGATGGGAGTTTTCCAACTGGCTTCATCAGTGCAGAATTGAAAACAGTTTTTGGGTTACTTTTTTTTTTATATTTATTTTCAAACTTCCTTTTTATTCACTATTAGACTTGCATCCTATTGTTCTTGTTTGTTTAAATAACATTTTGGCTCTTTGCTTACCTTATACAATTTGGTTTTTTACAGTGCCTGAAGAAGCCTAAAAAGCTACAGAAAAGCCAAGAAATGTATCCTAAGTACTGCATTAAAATGAAACATCCCAAGAGACAGTATGTCTGGGCAAAAAGGTATCTTTTGCTAACATTTCATAAAAAAATAAAAAATATATGGAGATACGCTTATCTCATAGAAGTGGATAGGACCCCAAAAAGCCATCGAGTCCAGCCCCCTGCCTTCAATAGCAGGGACAAATACTGATTTTTGCCCCAGATCCCTAAGTGCCCCTTCAAGGATTGAACTCACAACCCTGGGTTTAGCAGGCCAATGCTCAAACCACTGAGTTCTCCATTATTTATTTATATTATGACAGTGCCCAAAGGTCCATCAGGATTGAAGTACAATTGTGTCAGGTGTTGTACAAAGTTATTAGATGACAGGTCCTAGCTCCTTACACTTTAATTGAAAACAAGATGCAACAAGTGAGTATTCACGAACAATTGGAGGGAAGGTGAAGATAACAGAGCATTAGAACATGTAGTTATATAGGCAATCTATGTACATGACATAATGGTTCTAAACCAATATTTTATTTATTATATAAATCAGCACCCTTCACAACCCTCTATCTAGCTGCTTTGCTGAGCCTTCTGTGTTTGAAGAGACAGGTTCTGTCTGTCCCAGCATGTATTTGCACCAAAAATGTTGACCATAGGGAAGCAAAAGTGCAGAAATTTTGATTGCATGATCCTGTCCGTTTGGCAACGTGAGGATATCATGTATACATATTCTTAGAATAGAAAATATATTGGTCTGCAACTTTCTGCAATCCTAGTTCATCCTATCTTAAACAGATGCTCTACTCCCACATCTCATCCTGGTGGTATTCTCTCTACTTTTCAGCCATTAAGGGCAGTCGGTAATGTGTATGTGATACAGCTGATCGGGGCAGCTGCCAGAATACAAATCCTTATGTATTCAATGTTGTGTATGTGTCTTGGAAAAATGCTTTGCAAGTATATGACACTGCTGAGCCTTTTCTGAAATACTAATATGGATCCAAAAATACACAGAACAGGATGCTGTCCTGAGTTTCAGTGAATAATGGCAGTGCTGTTAATTTCCCCCGCCCTAGTTTTGTCTAATAGCTGTCTTCAGATATTTCCATATTCTTCAGTGTTACTCTTTCACTATTTTGTGGTTGGCTTTAGAAAAAGCATTCTGATTGATGTGCAAAGTAATGCTTCCAGTGAAATTTATTGGTGCTCGGTATTCTTACTCATCAGTTTTCATGCCTGGTGCGGGGCAAAAATAACATTTATGTAACTGATGATGGTGAAATGGTATGGGTCTTGTTAACATGAGAGAGAACATCAATATTTGTGGAGGACTGAGAAGGTAAGGCAGTTATATCCTGTACTGGTTCTTACTGGTTATAGCCTCCAAGATTAAAATGGTGCAAAAGCAACCCATGTTCCTCTCCTAACTTTAGGGGGAACAATACTGCCTTTGCATATATGGCTTGCATAGCCAGATGACTGTTTTACTTGAACTTAATTTGTTTGGAAAATGTTCTTTATAGTGATAAGTTTAAGGGAGTAGATTCTCTAGCCAAGAACCCTATTTAGCACTCTATTTAAGCTACACTCCCATTCAGTTCAGTGAGTTATGACTCATAAGCGCTGAATAGGGAACTTGATACAGTAGCCTGTTTAAACTGGTGGCTCTCAACTTTTCCAGACTGTCTCCCTTTCAGGAGTCTGATTTGTCTTGTGTACCCCAAGTTTCACCTCACTTAAACTACTTACTTACAAAACAGACAAATAGAAAAGTGTCACAGTACACTAGTACTGAAAAATTGGTGACTCATTTTTACCATAGTTATAAAATCAATTAGAATATAAATATTGTACTTACATTTCAGTGTATAGTATACAGAGTAGGGCTGTCAAGTGATTAATCACAATTAATTTTTTTAATCGAGCTGTTAAACAGAATATCATTTACTTAATTTTGGATGTTTTCAATATTTTCAATTACAATACAGAATACAAAGTGTACAGTGCTCATTTTATATTTTGATTACAAATATTTGCACTGTAAAAAACAAAGAATTGAAAAATATATCTAATACAAGTATTGTAGTGCAATCTCTTTATCATGAAAGTTGAACTTAAGAATTATGTACAAAAAATAACCATCTATTACTCCCCACCCCGATCACGATTTTTCACGCTTGCTGTCTGGTCACTCTAGCGCGCCACATGCACCCATGCTGGAAGTTTTTCCCTCAGCAGTATCCGTAGGGGTGTGGCTCTGATGCCCCCTAGAGTGGCGCCTGCAGGGCGCGGTATAAGAGGCGCCGCCGGCTCCCTCCACCCTCAGTTCCTTCTTGCATGAAACTCGGACAGTGGGGAAGGAGGGCGGGTCATGGAATAGACACGAGCAACACATCTCGAAGAACACTAGTTACGGAAAAAGTAACTGTCTTTTCTTCTTCAAGTGCTTGCTCATGTCCATTTCAGATTAGGTGACTCCAAAGCAGTACCCCTGAAGTTGAGTAGGAGTTCACGGATGTGTAGATTGCAACACAGCTCTGCCGAACCCAGCGTCGTCCCTGGCCTGCTGAGTGATGGTATAATGAGCGGTAAATGTGTGGACAGAGGACCACGTTACAGCTCTACAGGGATGTGCGCCAGAAAGGCTGCCAAAGACGCCTGATCTCTCGTCAAGTGGGCTCTGACAATCGGCGGCAGCGGAACCCCTGCCAGGTCGTAACAGGTCCTTATGCATGAGGTGATCCAATTGGAAATCCTCTGAAAAGACACTGGATGACCCGTCATCCTATTGGCTGTAGCAATGAAGAGTTGAGTCAATTTATGGAAAGGCTTGGTACGTTCTAAGTAAAAAGCCAAGGCCCTCTGGATGCCCACTACATGAACACTGGGAGGAAGATGTCCTGGTTCACATGGAAGGTGGAGACCACCTTTGGCAGGAAGGCCGGGTGGGGCCGCAACTGAACCTTATCTTTGTAGAAGACCGTGTATGGCGGTTCTGAGGTCAAGGCTTTAATTTCCAAGACCCATCTCGCTAACGTCACTGCCACCAGGAATGCGACCTTCCATGACCGATGGGAAAGGGAGCAGGAACCCAGTGGTTCAAAGGGCAGGCCAGTGAGCCTAGAGAGGACCAAGTTAAGATCCCATTGTCGGATGGGAGCCCGCACCTGTGGGAAGAGTCTCTCCAGCCCTCTCAAGAATCTGACCATCATGTCATGGAAGAACATAGTCTGTCCTTGGATCAGCGGGTGAAAAACAGAGATGGCCGCAAGTTGCACTCTAATGGAAGTGTGTACCAGGCCCTGGTTCCTCAAATGGAGCAGGTAGTCCAGGACAGCCCGTTTGGAAGAACATGAGGGAGAGATGTCCCATTCGGACGCCCAGTGGGAAAACCTCGTCCACTTGGCCAGGTAAGTCAGTCTAGTTGCGGGCTTCCTACTTTCCAGGAGGACCTGTTGGACTCCTTCTGAACAGGTCTGCTCCTCCAGGTTCAGCCACACAGCATCCATGCAAGAGGTGGAGGGACGCGAGGTTGGGGTGGGGCCAGGGAGGGGCCACTGACAGGCTCATGAGCATGCCGAACCAATGCTGGCAAGGCCACGTTGTGGTCTCTCTTGATCTTTGCCAGGGTCCTGATGATGAGTGGAATTGGAGGAAACGCACACATCAGGCTCCCTGACCATGACAAGAAGGCATCAGGGAGGGAACCCTTGCTCAGACCGTCGAGAACATAACCGGTGCCATTTCCTGTTCTGTCTGGTAGTGAACAGGTCCACTTGGGGAGTTCCCCACCTTTGGAAGATCATGAAGGCTACCTCTGGATGGAGTGACCACTCGTGGAGAGAGGAGAAGTCTCTGCTGAGCTGGTCTGCCAGTGTATTCCTGACGCCGGGAAGGTGACAAGCTTCCAGGTGGATTTTGTGGCTGATGCTTCCCCTTGCCTGTTGATGTAGAACATTGAGGCTGTGTTGTTCATCAGGACTTGTACCACCTTGCCCGACAGGTGGGGCAAGAAGACTCTGCATGCCATCCGGACTGCTCGGAGCTCTGAGGTTTATGTGTAACTGTACCTCCTCTAGGGACCACATCCACTGTGTCTGGAGGTTGCTGAGATGTACCACCCAGCCGAGGTCTGAGGTGTCCAACACCAACGCGATGGAGTGAGGAGGGTTGTCGAATGGAACCCCTTCCAGGACTGTTATGCGGTCGGTCCACCATCAGCGAAGTAAGTATCGCCTGGGGAATGGTAACAATCTTCTCCAGGGGGTCTCAGGACTGGGAATAGACCGTCGCCAGCCATTGTTGCAGGGGCCGCATCTGGAGCCTGCCATGGCGGACCATGTAAGTGCATGCTGCCATGTGGCCCAGCAGGCGCAGACAGACCCTGGCTGTAGTGAGAGGGAATGTGGAGACTTCCGTGACTAGGTTTGCTATCATGTAGAACCTTTCCAGCGGCAGGAACACTCTAGCGTAGGTAGAGTCGAGGACCGCTCCAATGAACTCTGTCCTCTGCACTGGCACTAATGTCGACATTTTGTTGTTCACCAGTAGGCCCAGAGAGCGGCGCGTGGCTTGAAGCACTGCAACATCCCTTCGGACTTAAGACCTGGAACTGCCCTTGATGAGCCAGTCGTTGAGGAACAGGTAGAACTGGATACCCTGGTGCCTGAGGTAAGCCGCTACCACCAACATGCACTTGATAAACAATCTTGGTGCTGTTGCCAGGCCGAATGAGAGGACCATAAACTGGTAGTGATGGGGCCTCATCATAAACCAGAGGAAGCGTCTGTGTCCTTGAAAGACCGCTATGTAGAAGTATGCATCCTTCAAGTCGAGGGCGGCATACCAATCTCCCGGATCCAGGGAGGTGATGATGGAAGCCAGAGAGATCATGTGGAAGTTTAGCTTCTGTAGGTACTTGTTGAGGTCTCGCAGGTCCAGGATGGGCTGTAGACCGCCCTTGGTTTTCGGGATTAAAAAGTACCAGGAATAGAACCCCTTGTTTCTGTACTCGAGAGGAACTTCTTCCACCGCACCCAGCTGTAGTAACCCTTTTACCTCCTGTGCGAGGAGACTCTTGTGAGAGGGGTCCCTGAAGAGGGACAGGGAAGGTGGGTGGGAAGGGGGGTAGAAAGGAACTGGAGGGTCTAACCCTGTTCAACTGTGGTGAGGACCCAGCAGTCTGAAGTTATAGTGGCCCAAGCTGGGAGGAAAGGGGAAAGGTGGTCGGAGAACACTGGGAAAGATGGGTCCGGGGAATAGTCTGGTAGGTCACCCTTGGGCCCACCCTCAAAATGACCGTTTGGCCCCCTGCTTATTAAGGGTCAAGCTCGACTGGGCAGAGGATGGAGGCGGGTGGTTTGGGCAGCGTTTGTAGCCCGTGGCTCATTTATGGGGTTGGTCCTGCTGAGGCTGGCTCCCCTGGCCCTGATGTTGCTGCGGTTTGAACTGCTTACGTGCCAGGGCTGGGACGTAGAGACCCAGGGTTTTCAGGCTGGTGCGAGAGTCCTTGAGGCCATGCAACTTGCTGTCTGTTTGCTCCACAAATAGGGCCCCGCCACTGAAGGGCAGGTCCTGCAATGACTTCTGGGCCTCGGTGGACAACGCAGAGAGGAGCAGCCAAGAGACTCGCCGCATGGAGATAGCGGAAGCCATGGTGCGGGCAGCAGTCGTGCCCTCATCAAGGATCGCTCGGAATTCCTTCTTGGAAGCCTCAGGGAGCGACCCTTTGAACTTGGCCATGGCTTGCCCCATATTGAAGTCATATTGGCCAAGGAGGGCTTGGTGGTTGGTTACTCTCAGCTGACGGCTGGAAGATGAATATACCTTTCACCTGAAAAGATCAGGCTTCCTTGAGTCTTTATTTTTGGGGGTGGCCCCGGGTTGTCTCTGCCTCCTCTTGTGGTTCACCACCTCAACCACAAGAGAATTGGGGGCTGGGAGGGAGTATAGGTACTCACGCCCTTTGGTTGGCATGAAGTACTTATGTTCGGCCCTTTTAGAGACGGGGCCAGGGAAGAGGGGGTCTGGCACAAGGCACTAGTGATTTTGGAGACCTCTTCATGAAGAGGTAGGACCACCCTGGTGGGAGCCGAAAAACATAGAACATCAAACAGAGTCCCAGGGCTCTTCCAATTCCTCTGCCTGAAGCACCAGGTTAGAAGTGAACCTCTTCAAAAGTTCCTGGTGTGCTCTGGTGTCATCCTGAGGAACCAAGTGACGGGGCCCCGTGATAGCCTTGTCTGGTGCCGATGAGGATGATGCCGGTGCTGCGGGAACCTCCATGTCCATTGGTGGTCTAGCAGCTTGCTCCCCTGGGTCTTCCTGGACCTGCAAGGTCTTACCCCCTGAAGCCTCGAGCACCAGAGGGGGACGGGATACCGAGGCCGCTGGCCTCTCCGAGGCTCCCGACACCGAGCGGGCAGCCTGGGAAGGTTGGGTGAACCCCCAGGGGTTCCATGGCGCCGGCCACTGCGCTTGGGGCCATGGGGCAGGTTTCGGTGCTGATAATGTAGTTGGCACCGCCGGTACTAGGGCTTGTCCTGCAGTCAGGGAACCTCACTCTGAGCCCGAGCTACCAGCAGAGTGGTCAGTACCGGGCGACCAGGATCGGGATGAGTGGTAGCTCTTGTCTGACCGGTGCCGGTCGTTGCATCCTGAAGCCGACCTGTCTGAGCGAGATTGTCTTGGTTGGGCTCTCGGGGACGGACAGAGTTCGGCAGATCTGCGTCTGATACCTGGCAATCCACGCCTTGAGCTACTCGACCAGTACCAGGACGTCAAACAGGACCGGGAGGATCATCCTGAGTAGGGCGATCTCCTTCTTGGAGACGGGTGATGATGGCCCAGCAATCGGTAATCTCTGGTGTCTGATTGGTCCCGGGATCAGTACCAGGCCCTTGGAGACAGTCAAGACCGGTCCCGAAGTTCTTGCTGGGTGACGCGTGCCCCAGAGGGTCTGCGCCATTCCACCAGCGAGGTACGCCTTGAGTCCCTTGATTGGTGCCCCTGGTGTGGGGATTGAGGTGGGCTCAGCTTATTTACAATGTTACCTGAAAGTGAGTACAGGTGTTCACATTGCACTGTTGTAGCTGCCACTGCAAGGTATTTACATGCCAGATATGCTAAACATTCATATGCCCCTTCATGCTTCAGCCACCATTCCAGAGGACATGTTTCCATGCTGATGACGCTCGTTAAAAAAAATAATGCATTTATTAAATTTGTGATTGAACTCCTTGGGGGAGAATTGTGTGTCTCCTGCTCTGTTTACCCACATTCTGCCATATATTTCATGTTATAGGAGTCTCGGATGATGACCCAGCACATGTTTGTTTTAAAAACATTTTCACTGCAGATTTGACAAACCAAAAAAAAAGGGACCAACGTGAGATTTCTAAAGATAGCTATAGCACTCGACCCAAAATCTGAGAGGGATGAAGTGTGGAGCATGCTTTCAGAAGTCTTAAAAGAGCAACACTCCGATGCGGAAACTACAGAACTGAACCACCAAAAAAGAAAATCAACCTTCTGCTGGTGGCATCTGACTCAGATGTTGAAAATGAACATGCATTGGTCTGCACTGCTTTGGATTGTTGTTGAGCAGAACCTGTCATCAGCACGGGATGCATGTCTTCTGGAATGGTGTTTGAGGCATGAAGGGACACGTGAATCTTTAGTGCATCTGGCACATAAATATCTTGCGATGCTGGCTACAACCGTGCCATGAGAATGCCTGTTCTCACTTTCAGGTGACCCTGTAAACAAGAAGTGGGCAGCATTATCTCCTGCAAATGTAAACAAACTTGTTTGTCTGAGGGATTGGCTGAACAAGTAGTAGGACTGAGTGGACTTGTAGGCTCTAAAGTTTTACATTTTGAGTGCAGTTATGTAACAAACTGCATTTGTAAGTTGCACTTTCATGATAGAGATTGCACTACAGTACTTGTATGAGGTAAATTGAAAAATGTCATTTTTACAGTGAAATATTTAAATATAAAGTGAGCATTGTATGCTTTGTATTCTGTATTGTAATTGAAATCAATATATTTGAAAATGTAGAAACATACAAAAATATTGAATATATTTCAATTGGTATTCTATTGTTTAACTGTGCAATTAAACTGATCAAGTCTAATTTGTTAATCATGTGAGTTAACTGTGATTAATCAACAGCCCTCACTGAGCAATATAAACAAGTCATTTCTATATGAAATTTTAGTTTACTGACTTCACTAATGCTTTTTATGTAGCCTGTTGTAAAATTAGGTAAATATCTAGATGTTCTGTACCCCCACACATACATCTACCCCTGGTTGAGACCCACTTAGAAATAGGCTCTGTTAAATAACCACCTTTGACTATCTGCTATTGCTCCTCTCCAAATATGAAAGTGATGGCTTGTTAGAGTAATACTGCTTTTCCTCCAACAGGTTCTTATGAAAACTCAGACTCTGGAATCTGTCAAGCCTACATTGACTTATATAAACAACTGACAGTTTTGAAAACTATCTTTAAAGTGATGGAGACAAGGTGAGTGAGGTAATATCTTTTATTGGACCAGCTTCCGCTGGTGGGAGGGACAAGCTTTTGAGCTGAACAGTGCTCTTCTTCAGGTCTGGGGAAGGTAATCAGAGTGTCTGAGCTAAATACAAGTTGGGACTATTAAGCAGATGGGGCAGGGGAGGAGGGAAAAGCACGCCTGCTGTAGGAGACAACTTAACATAGAGTGGGCAATTAAGAGATAGCAGGCTCTAGGATGTTACAGATTGTTGTAATGAGCCATAAAGCCACTGTGTTGGTTTAGTCCATGGTAATATCTAGCAGAATTATTAAGTTCCCAAGCTTGTCTTCTGAAGGTGTTGTGCAAGTTTCCTTTGAGGACAAAGAGGTTGCATGCGGTGTGATGATTGCTTAATGAAAAATGCTCACCCACATGTGATTGTATTTTTCTGTGAGTTCATTCAGTACTTTAAACTGATGATCATTTATAGAAAAAATGGACAGTTATGACAATGAAAACATATCTAATGTTAAAACAACAAGGAGTCTGGTGGCACCTTAAAGACTAACAGATTTATTTGGGCATAAGCTTTCGTGGGTAAAAACCTCACTTCTTCGGATGCAACATATCTAATGTTGTGTATCTTCACGCACAACTCTTCTCCCAGACGGGGAATGGAGAGAAAGCTATTACTCTGTAAAATTACATTTAACTCAAATAGCTTTTAGTCAATTTGAACCCTCTGAAGAATTTTTGACTTGTACATTCAAAGCAAACTGTGGGACACCTATTAAGTATCTACAAAATATTGGCAGTGCAGCAGTTCTTAAAACTGTAGTAATTAATACTTAAGATTCAGGTTCTAACAAACTTTTGGAAAGACAATCCAAGAGGGAAAACAAATGCTTCTATTGTAACTGAATACTTAAGTTACACTACTGTCATTTCACAGTAAATCTGACTAGTCTTTGCAATGGTAACCAGAACTTGCTATTAAATATTAAATCAGATACTTCTGTCAAGACTGTTGCATTGTCTTTCAATTGTCCTTCCCACCCACTATAATTCCCTTTCCTTTACTAAGCTATGAGGCTTCACATATGCTACCTTCCTCCCCATCCCCTGTGGGCAGGGGTGAGAGAAAATGTTAGCTAATGCCAGAAGGGCTAAGGGTAGCAGAAACAGGCAAATAAAAGGCAGTGCTGTGTTCATCTCAGCTTTGACAGAGGACAACTGTAGGATCAGATACCAAAGGAAAAACTTTCAAGGGGCCTTTGTAGTAGACAAGCACACCTGTTTGTGAACATAACTCATTTAACATGATTATATGCTTGAACCACTAATCTGAAAAGTAAATATTTGCTAGCAGCAGAGAAAGTGTCTATAATTCCTTAGTCGTGGTGGTGCAGATTCACCAGGTTCTTATTGCATATGCATGAGCAAGCATACATTTTTATTTGCAAGGAAAGTACTTTCCTCATGTAAGATCAAAATCTCAAATATTTTTACAAAGTATTTTGTTGTACTTTTCCAGTTTTTTTTTTTTTTTTTTTAAAGGTACTTGGAGGACTAAGGTTCCCCCTTAACTATAACAAAAGCTTCAGAATGCCTTGGAATACAAGTCACACTTCTGGAGCTACACCTTCAGAAATGACTGTTAATTTGTTGTTATGGAATATAGTCTTACAGGAAAATGTTAGCACTAAACTATATTGGTAATTGTGATGTCTTCAATTTACCTGTACATTTATAATAATATTGTGTACAAAGACTAATGTTAATATTTTGATTTCTTCGAAGATTGTTCAATTCTGTATTAAACTGTGTTGCTAAAGCCATTCTAAGCACTTGTACACATAACTGTTTAAAATACTACCTCTGGGCAAGGCATTTTTCAGTAGCTGCTTTCAGATTATTAAACAAAGGCTTTAAACTACAACATTAAATAGTAATCAAAGCATTGTTATTTCTTATTACAATCTCTGGTGACTCTGATGATAAGAAATGTTAAGAAGAATGACTAGCAGCTGTTCTGGCTTCAGCAGTCTGCTTGCTGTTGGACAGTTTAGCCCTGGTAAACTAGGTGGATGTTATGTCTGCTTACTAGTCTCCTTTACTGTGACAGCAATATCAGGATATTTTAACCTGAATGAAGAGAGATTAGGAAAGTGTCCTAATTTTAAAGAGAACCCCCACATCCAACATACTCATAAGTTAATGTCAAGAATCACACAATTTAAATTTGACAATATTTCATTTATTGTGTTTAAGAACATTCAATAAATATCAAGTTTTCAGTTTTAGATTTGCAATCCTTGTGCACGGAAAGTCTGATTTCCCCCCCCCCGGCATAAACTCCATTGCCAGCAATGGGTGTATCAGAACAGCCAGCCTGAAGAGGCTAATAAATATTTTAATACTCCTAGATAGCAGGTTTCTGAGCATACCCCTTCTAAATGGTATGTTACAGATTCACCACACAAATTCTTCACAGAAGAAAATAAGATTTTACTACAAACTGTCCTCTGAATATTATTCTTTTACTAACAGTGGTCATTTATTTCATGGAACACAGTATTTAGAAATACAAAGTAGACATGGATTGTTAAAAATATCAGGAATTTAATTTCATATATGAAGAGTAAATTGAGATGTATGTGATCAGTACTGAATTGTATGAATTTAGTTGTAATGTTCCTCTTGCTAAGTTTCACAGCAATTCGGACCAAATGCTCACACGAGAGGAAAAGGCAACATTTAAAAACCTCTTGCATTGTTTTGTGGTTTTTTTTGCTTGTTAGAACATTAAAAAAATAATCTTCAGAAGTTTGGAAAAACAGTTTAAAAGCAAATCAAAAGAGTTTTAATTGCAGTGGGCTATTGTATTAAAAAATAAATATTTAAAGAAAATTCCTTCCCTTAATGAGCATCACATTCAAGTACTTCCATTTGAACATCCTTCTAAACAAAACCTGCATCAGTCTGATTTTCACTGCTTATTTATTTAAAAGTGTGTTTAAAAAAAAAAGTGTGAACACTAGTGTAAACCAAATAAGACTATAGTTAATCTTAATATACACCTCTGAATCTTGAGGAGATTCTTCACAGCTGTATATTACTTATCACCCAACTTCTAATTTAGCTAAAAATAAACTCTCAGCCACTCTTTATATACATGAATTATCCTGCTCTGGGCCTGAGTATTTTCATTCTGCAGTCCCTCTAACCCAAGGCATAACTTTGGGTGCATCTTTCTGCGTTTTAGCTTCCTGGAAGCTTTCAGCAAACCTCTCTCTTGCTTTATCCCAGTTCTTTTTGTTCTTGCTTTTGATGATCTGAACATCGTCAACTGAAGCTGGTCTACTTGTACCCAAGCCTGCATGCATCTTGTGTATGCGAAGCTGGATCTGTCAAACACATTGAAAAGTGTTATGGATTCCATATTTCAAATACTTCAACATTACTGTCAGAGGTCAAAGTAACTTAAAGGACATACGGGTACACCGGAGTCCTGAGCAGGGGCATGGCCTCAACCAGAAGAGGCGGGACCTTTCAAGATTTAAAAGCCCTGGGGCTCCAGCTGTGGCTGGGAGCCCCAGAGCCTTTTAATTCACCCCTGAGCCCCAGTGCTCCCAGCCACCTCTGCAGCTGGTAGCTCCGGGGTGATTTAAGGGCCTGGTGCTCCGGCTGCTGCGGGGAGCCCCGGGCCCTTTAAATCACCGCAGGAGCCCTGCCACCACTGCCCTGGGGTAGCAGCAGCAGGGCTCCGGTGGCGATTTAAAGGGCCCAGGGCTTCTTGGAGTTGCAGGAGCACCAGGCCCTTTAAATCACCGTCAGAGAAGCCAGTCCAGTCCGGCACAGTACCGGCTCTTGCCAGTATGCCGTACCAGCTTACTTTCGCCTCTGATTACTGTACACCTATCAAGCTCTGCAACATTAAGAAACCTGCTATGTTTGACTAACAATAAAATACCCAAATCATGAACACTGATTTCATGTTGATAAAAGCCTGCTACTCATCCAATTCATTTTAGAGGTGATCTGCGGGGAAAAAACAAAAACAAAAAAACCCAAACCCTGAACTTTTTAGATGCTGAACAATCTAAACAAACGTAAGAGGATGTTTTAGCATGTATGCAACTAGTGTAATTTTTAAATTTGTGAGGCACAGTCCACCCTCTACCTTTTCCATGCAAGTGCCAGATTCTCACTCCATAATATAGCACCTACCACTCTAAAATCCAAACCCCATATCTATTCCCCCATCTGCATTCTGCTGCCCCACAAGGATCCTTTCATCTTCACAAACCGACATAGTGGCTGTGCTGGTGGGTGCAGAAGGGGTGCATGGGGGAAGACACTGCAACACAGCACTGCGTAGATTCTGGGCAGCTCGGTTGCCCTTAAGCAACCAAAACTTAAACAGAACTCCCACAGCTCTCTAGGTTACACTTTTTTGGTGGGAGGTGTGGCGAGGAGGCCACACTGGCTTCCATGGCAGCCCAAAACTGGAAGGGTACAAAGAGGCTTAAAGCCACCTTAGCCCTTTTCTACTCCTCCGTTGGTTGCAAGTTCTGTGCTACACCACTGTGGGGCACGGCAGAGGATCTTACCCAAAGTCTGTCTTTTAAAATATTTGCATGCTCCCTATAAAAGGGAGAACAAAAAGGAAATTAGTTCCGTCTTTCTCTAGGCTTTGTGTGAAGCATTAAGATAACTGAACTACTGATTAGCTATCTAGACACAGTCTGTACCCCAGCCTCAACCTCAATTCCCTAACAATGTATACACCACTAACATTTTCCAATGAAGCACCGCAACTATTGATATATAATTTCTAAAATACTAGATTAGTAATTTAAAAGTGAGTAACTGCCCTGCTGAAATGCCCCACATCCAGTACTTCGAAATCCTGTAAGTTCCTCATGACTTACAATGAAACTAGCATTTTCAGTGCAAATGCATTTTTATATTTCTGTGTAACCTGTAAAGCAAAAGTCACAGAAACCTACCGGATTCTTCATTCCACCACCATCCTTGCCTAGCCCTTCTCCTTTTTTCCATCCCATCTTCTCCAGCATTTTGCGACCCTTGTTGCTATCACTGATTTCACTTTAAAGGAAAGTAAAGTTAGCTAAAATATGAGGAGGACAAAACAGAATTTTAACTCTATTCCTAGTATTTGGGGTCTATTTTTCAAATGCGTGCACAACTGCTGCTCCTGCAAACTAGGCAATTGCACTTGCCATTACCTGATATGCAAGCATGAGGGGCTGAACATGTTCATGTCTGCCTCCAGACTATGCTGAACACAATGCAAAAGTTAAACTTGATTGAATTTTTGTTGGCATTGACAAAATCGGTTTCAAGAAATGAAGTGACTTTTTTAGTATACACTAGCTTTGTGAAATCGAGTTAGTCACCTTTGCGAAAATTGCCATTTTAAGTGAAGGGACTATTCCAATCTTGGCTAGCTATATTTTCCATGAACAGAACTGTAAAAAAGTTATCAGTAGTAACTCTTGTTCTCCAAATGAATTGCCTCCACAGAGCCTCATTGTACGGTCTGAGTCCCTGGCAGCTTGACACCCAATACTATCACTACAAACCCTATACATCCTGAACCCCTTGTTTCCCCATCCCAAACCACCAGCCTCTGCGTCCATCATGACCACCATCAAAACCCTCCTCTGCCCACCAATCCCAAGTGCCCTATCTGCAAGTTCTCCCATTTGACAACCTTTACTATCCTTGTCTTCCCTATGCCCCAAGTTTATCATTAATCTCCTCTTTAAATAGGAAATGTCTACAAACAAACAAAAACACCTTTGTTGCCTCAGAATTAGGGTTGGCTCAAGTGTATATCTACCAGTACAATCATAATTAAAATCAGGGATATCGCCAGGTAAGGCTACATTAATATCCAGAGCAATGTCAATTCACCTGCCTTACTACCCAAACTTCATAATTCTTAAAGGCTTATTTGCCACAACAAACTTCTTTTAATTTTCAACATACAGCTCCCCACGAATGCATACATTCAATTCCTCTAAAACCCACTCTTAATGATAATCTTGGTGAGATTATGACTTGTCATAGTTAAGCATGTGAAACAATGTGATTTAGAACAGTGGTTCTCAATCAGGAGTCTGGGGCCCCCTAGGGGGCCTTGAGCAGGTTTCAGGGGGTCTCCAAGCAGGGCCAGCATTAGACTCGCTGGGGCCCAGGGCAGAAAGCCATAGCCTCACCGCATGGGGCTGATACCCAGGAACCTGAGCCCTGCCACCCGGGGCTGAAGTTGAAGCCTGACCAATGTAGCTTTGTGGGGGGCCCTGCGGCATGGAGCCCCAGGCAATTGCCCTACTTGCTACCCCAGATCGCCAGCCCTGTCTTTTATATACAGAAAACCAGCTATGGCAGAGGTTGGCCATGGAGTTTTTATAGCATGTTGGGGAGGGGGGCTCAAAGAAAAAGGTTGAGAACCTCTGATTTAGAAGAAATGGTTGTATGAATTGTGCGTGACTGTATGTTGGAGGTGAAGAATCTGAGTAAATGTGGATGTTACAATGGGTTATAAGTAGAGCCCTACCAAATTCATGGCCATGAAAAATGCATCATGGACCA